GGCACATAAAGGATAACTCCAACTCGTCCTGTGTTTCTTCAATCTGTCCCCACTTCCTTTCTGTCTGAGAAAAACATTTGGAGGACGTTGTAATGATTTGTTTTTAATCATAAGTGAAAATATATCTACCATTTCCGTTTCCCATCAATTTAGATGGTGTTCAGCTCACCGTTGAAGGCTAGAAACGTTTTTGTCATGCTCACTTGTTAAGCAATAAAAGCAATACCAGTTCTGTTAAAAACATATAGTCGCATCGTCTTTCCACCAAATAACAGAAAAGGATCGATAGTGGTATCGATAAAGACTCGGATCGATAAGGAGTATCGACAGAGGTCGGGACTCGAGTCACATGACTTGGACTCGAGTCGTTAAAATCATGACTTGAGACTTGACTTGAAAAAATGCTCAAAGACTCGGACTTGACTTTGACTTTCATGCCATTGACTTCGGACTTGACTCGACTTGAAGCTGTTTACTTGAAAAGACTTGATATTTTTTACTCAAAGTCTTAAAATTTAAAACACATTATTTATAAAGTGGCGTCATTAATAAATTTCACTCATTCCGTGTCAATATGCACAAACCGTCACTATGTTTTTCCTCTCTCCCTATGTATGGATGTGTACGTAGCTGCAACATAACCAATCAAATTCACAGGATTTGGACATTTAAAAAAACGCGGCGAAGCTACAGAGCTCAGGGAACGAAATACGAAATAACCGCTCGAATATGCTTCCGCGAGTCATTTCTTTTGGCTACGTAGGTTATGAAATTTCAACTAAAAAACGAACTGCAACTTGTAAAACATGCAAGAAAGAGAATATCGGATGGAGATGCCACGACGTCCAACTTTGTCCGGCATTTGAAGCTTCACAAAGATCGGTAGGTGGCACTTTTCTTTTGCCGTAAGATAGTTGACTTTAGCTAAGGTGGGGACTCGAGTCACATGACTTGGACTCGAGTCAGACTCGAGTCGTTAAAATCACGACTTGAGACCTGACTCGACTTTACCTGTCTTTACTTGAGACTTGACTCGACTTTACC